TACAGCTACTGAGGCAGTCCTTCAACCTGCTATTTTTGGATATTCCCCTCCCCCAGCTGAACTGAGAATGGTTTTCTTATATTTAAATGGTTGAAAAAAATCAAAGAAAGAATATTTCATGACATATGAAAAGCTTGTGAAATTGATATTTTAATGTCAATTAATAAAGTTTTATTAAAATATGCTCATCTTACTTTGTATGGCTGCTTTCTCACAACAAAGGCAGAATTGGGTAGTTTTCAGAGACTGCATGGCACTCAAAGACTACAGAACATACTACATTTTCCTATATAGAAAAGGTTTGCTGGTCCTAAGATTTATATATTATTTTTAAAAATGCAAGCTTTCAAATTCGGTGATAAAAAGTCACAAATATTTGTGTGGGATTACCTTATACATCACTCTCAGATGAATCTTCCTAAAATACAGCTCAAATTATACCCCTGTCCTACCAAAAATCTTCTTTAGCACTCCCTAGGGGATGGGAGGTATAGATTATTGGTAGAGGACTTGCCCAACAAGTTCGAGGCTCTGGGTTCCATCCATAGCATCACAAAAAAAGTAAAAGAAAGAAAGAAAAGAAAAAAAAGAAAGAAAAGCATCCTTTGCCTATAAAGTCTGAAATTCTTGACAGATCTTGTATGGTCTTATCTTACTCTTCCATTCCAACTTCATTTCCCAAGCCTCTCTTTTTGCATCTTATATACCAGATGACCTGAATCATTTGTCATCCCTTCACACTCTGTGTCATTCCTACTATATGAAATTCTTTGTTCTGAATACAGTGTCATACTGCAAAATAAGCAGGTTCTTTAGAGACAAAGTTAGATTGTATTTCAGATTCTTACCCTTATTAGTTCAAGAAGCTAACTTCTCTGAACTTCAGTTTTCTTATCTATAAAATGTGAATAATAATCCTTATCCCAAGCTGCAAATGTAGCTCTGTGGTAGAGTGCTTCCCTAACATGTGTGAGGCCCTCGGTTCAATCCCAGCACCACAAAATAATAACAATATTATTACTTATCTCATAAAACTGTTACAAGATGAGCGCCTGGCATATGGGAACAGCTAAATAAGTGATAAGTGTTATTACTTCTGCTTAAATCCAATCCTACCCTCCTCCTTTGCTTTTCCTCTGTCCTCCCACTGGGAAATGAGCTCTCCCTGTGTCACATACCATTATGCCTACTTATCCCTCTCTTAGGTTCTAATCTGTATCTACTACTTTATATAACAGTAATTTCTCTCTACTACTTGCCCAGGAACTTATTGAGGGCAGAATTCATCTGTGACTCACTCTGTATGTCTCACAGACCTCTGAACAATGACTTGAACATAGTATGTGCACAAGTATTTATTGAATGAATGGTATGTGTTTGCTGAACTATATATAACATGCATTAGCTGTCTCATATTGCTTAGGGATAAGTAAGGGGTCACAACACTCGTTCTGTATAATGCCTAGGTTCAGTGCTTGGCAAATATTCAAATAACATCAAGGACTAAAACCGCCATCATGAAAACAAGGGTAAACAGAAAAATGGGCAATACAGTCACCTTTCAGAATGATGGTCTTTTTCTTTCCCATTAGTTAAAGTTATAATCATCTTGTGCTCCAAAAATTAGAACTAGAGCACATTTAAAGGAGGAGGGGGAAATTAACCACTTCCTCAAGGGAGTCAGGTGAATATCATAACATCAATTACCTCTGAGCACAGAGCTAAATAAATCTAAATATTTAAACAGGACCTACATTCAATGAATTAATCATCATACTCAGTTGTGACTACAGCCCTTATCTAAAGCTCTATACAAAACAAGCATAAAGCATAGACATCAAATTCCATCTACATTAACAACTGTTTTTTAAAAGTTGCTAATGATTTTTGCAACACAGTACATCACATCTCATTGGTTCCTAGAAACACTAGTTATTTGAATTGGTGGTCAAATTAATTAGTTAAATTAAAAGGTATCAATCATTCTCCTGCCTTTTAATGCCAGACTCCTGATGCTACTCAAGATGGATCCATGCACAGGAATACAAAACCCATGGCTGAGACATGCCAATGTAGAGGGTGACACTTCCAACAAGAGAAAAGCAAAAAAAAATGGTCTCTGTTTTAAACTACTTCTGCTTAAGCATTTCCCTCCTGAAATCTACTGAAAATTACACATTCACCAACAGATTTATCAGTGACCAGAAGATGTATTATCAACAATGTACATTGTTTTGCCATTTCCATTTACAAAGCACTTTTAGAATCCATTAATGCTGCTGAGCTTTGCAACAACTCTGTGAGGTAGATATAATTACCACCATTTTTTTTTTGAGACAAGGTCTCACTATATTTCCCAGGCTGACCTTGAATTCTCATTTCCCTGCCTCAACCTCACAAGTAGCCGAGATTACAGGTGTGCACCACTGTGCCCAGTTTTCCACCACTTTTCATTTTAATTGCACAAATTTATGGAGTACAGTATCATAATATGATAAATGTGTAGCGTCTAATAACCCAATGATAATACTTGACATTTCCCCTCCTTAACATCAAAAAAAATAATTATTCCTATTTTACAGATGAAGTGATTTGTGCCAAATCCCAAGATGAGGAAGCCAAGACTGTAACCTAGGTCTTCAAACTCCAATTCTAGTATTCTTTCTCCATTTTTTTCTCCACATGAAGCAAAAGAACACCTTTGTCTTGTATCGATCCTACTTAACTCTCAGAAATCCACCCAGCTGGCACAGTGTGAGGAAACAGTAGGAGTATAAACATTACTGGGGTCTAGACGATGGGGAACATCCGTCTTTGCCTCTCACTACTCAAGCAATTCTAATTCATTTAACTTAAAGAAATGGAGCTAGCTTTTAACTCCGACCCATTCTATTTTTGGCTTTCTATGTATACTCAAAAAAAAATCAAAAAGCCCCCTAGCCTAGAATATCTTTTGATCTTTTGACCATGTACAAAGGTTTGGGCCTGCATAATTGTTGACTCTTACTCTTTTAATCTTACCAAAGAAGGACAGAGCAGGATGGTGGCACATGCCTGAAATTCTAGCTACTTGGAAGGCTGAGGCAGAAGGATCTCAATTGTGGGTCCAGCCTGAGCAAATTAACAAGACCTTGTCTCAAAGTTGTTGTTGTTGTTGTTGTTGTTGTTGTTGTTGTTGTTGTTTAAAAGATATGGGGATGTATATTAGTAGTAGAGTGTCCCTGGATTCAATGCCCCCCCAGTACCACCAAAAAAAATAAATTAAAGAAGGAAAGAATTTAAATCACTCTTTTCCTCTAGCTTGAAAAACATTTCAATGTTTTATTAAACTGCATTTTTTTTCCTTTCAAATCTTAATCTCTTTGATATGCCTTAGCTGGTCATTTTTTTAGCACAAACACTTTCAGCTTACCATCTATTTCACAAAGCTACCTGCTTCCTAGGGCTTTTAATGAGATTCAATCTGGATTCCTTACCAAGAAGTTTGTTATAGGAAGAAAACAAGCAACAAAGCACAAACATTCTGCATTTTCCTCCCAGAGAAACCTTGCCTTTCTATTTCTGTGGCACAATCTATTCTTAACCTCTCAAGGAACTCTATTAAGTGGAGACACACCCCAAAGCCTGATCTATATGTCTATCTGGAAGGATCAGCATTTCAAATACCCCATCTTTAAGGTGCTACTAGGCATTTACTCTTGATAAGAATACAATAGATGATAGAACTCAACCAAAGGACCTGCAGGAACTTAAATGGTTTATAGATTCTGACCAAAAGTGGAAAGATGACAGATGTGCAGAGAAAGCACAAAATTCAAGGGGCCAATCCAAAAAAAAAAAAAACTGCACAAGAAATACCAGCTGGTAGCAGTTACCATCACACTAAGCTCCTAAGGCTCTCCCCCTCTCTTGCTTGGCTACAATCAGGTCCCTACATTGAACATAGACACACTATATTTTGGGAATAAGTCCACTTGAATAAAGTTATAAGCATAGAGGGACATATATGCCAGTGACTTTATTTTTTGCAATCATCTTTCAGCCAAGAAGAGAAAAAATTAATTATCACTCCACTCAATCATTACACTCCATTCTTCTGGGTATATATTTTGGCACAAAGCATTGGCTTGCTCTACTCTCATTGGGGATGTTTATTATTCTTTCTTTTACTCCAAGCCTCCTGCCAACCAGCAGAAATAAAAACCTCCACACACAGAGGGGGAGGGAAATAGGGTCCCACAGCCAAGTCAGCTGTGACCACTAGAAAAGCCAAGTTAGGTGAGGTTCCTTTCAGTGTAGTGGCCCCCATCCCTAACACTGTGTTTTATTCCCTGGGGGTTAGACTGCTTGTGCCAGGGAGCAGGCAGGTCTTTGTTCCAAGCTCAAGCAGACTTCAGTGGCATGTGAAACCAACCAATAATTCTGAACTTAGACTGACCTTGACCTAGGCCATAGCTCAGTATGTTAAAGAAAAAAAATCACTAGGGCAAAGGTGTTTTCTTTAGAAAATAACTTGCCATGGGAATTTTTTTTTACTGTATTACTTATCTGTAGTAACCAAAGGTCAGGACAAAATCATGACTCCAGCTGTTGGCCTTAATCCCCAAATCTTTAGGAGCCTGAGGGAGTTCCTTGGTCAGCCTGGATGTCACCTGGCACCTGACAAGGGTGGTGAATATGTCTCACAGTACCTTCAGATTATCCTTTCAAACAACCATCTGCCTAAGTAAGGCTAACTGCAGAGCAAGAGAGTCCTTGGCACAGCTACAGATCATGTCTTATAAGGTCAAGTCCACTAAAGAGAAAGGCTGAAAGTTTTGATTGTATCCACCATTTTCCACCTCTACTGACCCCCATCCCAAAGGATAGGAAACCCATTTGCCTCACGCGCGTGGAAGGAGTCACCCTAAAGCCTCCTTTCGTTCACCCTGCAATGAGTAAAGATTTAAAGGCAAGAGCCACCGGCTCAGGGGAACAGCTAGTGGAAGCCTTCTACTTACTTCTCATGGCGCTGATAAGCGCGTTGCCGTCTTTGATCACGTCTTTGATGAATTTATTGGTCCTCTCCAGCTCCTGCTCATAACACTTGAGCCTCTCACGGAAGTCGGGGCTGTCCAAGTAGCAATCGCTGAACTCCAGCGGAGGATGCCCCATGGTTCTGATGACCGGGATTGTGGGAGAGAGGAAAGACACAAAGACCAAGAGCATCAGTGGCACAGTGAGGGGAGCAGAAGGGACGGACTGAACGCTAGACAACCTTAAGGAGGCTCTTAGCCTCCCTCCCTTTGGAAATAAGTACCTGTTCCAATGAGATTCCTGGGAAGCAGTGGCTGGTGCGTACGAGGAACGCGCGGCCCGTCGGTGGCTTCAGGTGACTGTGAAGGCTTACTAATGCAGTCGGATCCTGATGGGGTGCTGCCTAGTAAGCAGCATACCCGCTTGGCATCGCCTCTCCTTATAGGCAGCAGAAACCGCAGCCTGACCGGCTTGCCTCCGAAGACGGGCCGAATCCTTCCTGAGCACTTGCAAACGTGACACTTCGGCCCGCCCAGGGTGTAGGCGGGGGTGAGCGCTGGGATTGGGAGCCGCCTCTCCTAGCTCCTCGCTCCTCGCTCCAGAGCTAGCTGAAGATTTCCTACGCCGAACTCCGCGGGCAACCCGGATCGCACTGTCCCCTCCCCCTTCTTAAAGCCAGCGCCTCCGCCCCGCCCCAGCAAAGCCCGAAATCCCAGCCTGGGCGCTCAAGCTCTCTATTCAACTGTCTTCCTTGTACCTTAGGGTTTCGTTACCCGGGTCCGGCAGCTGCTGAGAGTTTTTCCTAGTCCAAGCTTGCTGTCCTGTGAGGAGCCAGAAGGGTTAAGCCCGAGGGCGGCAATGAAACGTAGCCTTCCTCCCTAGACACCAAAGCGGGAAGCGGAGGGCAACAACGCGGCACACAATAGCCGCGGTAGCTCGGCGCTTCCCTACGGAAACTGGGGAGCAGTCAGCGCCCTAGGACTCCAGCTGGAAAGCGTGGCGGCCTGGGAGATGTAGTCTTTCAGTCTGCAAGTCTCATGACTCCTCCCTGCGGTCTCCCCACCACCCCACCAGGGCGGTCGCTCTCCCAGATCTGCATTCCCAGTCTCTCCCAGGCTCTCTGGCAGCACCCAGTCCCAAGGGACAGGTGCGTGGCTCGGGAGAGTCCATGGAAAGTTTCTGCATCTGGATCAAGAACCCAGGAGGAATGGATGGTGGGAGATTCTCTCTCACTTCCCGTTTATTTGTCTAGACTGTATGTTCCTTTTTCCTCTCTTCCCAGCCTCCCTTTGACCTACCAAATTCTTTTTCTTTCCTATTTCTCCTGATTCAAAGTGTTAATTCCCATGGGCCTTGGATCTAAAGGGTCTGTTAGACTCAGAGCCCCTGACAAAGAAAGGGAGACCATAATTAGGAGTTAAATTATCCCTCAATATCACCTCAGACCATGTTTGTGTGTGTGTGTGTGTGTACGTGTGTGTGTGTGTGTGTGTGTGATCCAAATCATTGCATAGGCTGATGATTAAAGCATAAGATTTTCCACATGTAAATGGAAAACCTAAGAAAAGGATATTATAAGTTGTCTTGCAGTATAACTAAAAGGTCTCTTGTCCATTGTTGGAGAACTGGGGCTACCGATGAAGGCAGCTGCCTTGAGATTAAGACAGAGGTTCAAACTGAAAAATAATGTGTACTAGGGAAAAAAAGAGATTGATTTTTATTTTTTGTGGAGTGTTTAAATTGTCCTGTGAAGAAAACCAAGAAAAGCCAGAACTGAAGAGGGTTGTCAATAGAATAATAATGGCTACCCAGCCTGTATTCATGTTCTATTGCTGCTGTGACAAATTACTGCAAACTTGGTGGCTTAAAATAACAAAAAATTACTATCTTACAGTGCTGGGAGTTGGAAATCAGAAACAGATCATGCTAAGCTAAAATGAAGATGTCAGAAGGGCTGTGTTCCTTTCCGAACACTCTAGGGGAGAATTCATAAGTTGCCCCATCATTCTACCCATAGCCTCCTTCCTCAGACTTCAGAACTAGCAATGCCTGTAATCTCAGCCCCTCC